CAGAGGAGGGATGGTTCAGGCCCAGGTCTGCTCTCAACTACAAATGGTTGTAGGCAGGTGCAAATCATGAATCTTTTTTTCAAACCTTACTTTACCTTAAAAGAAAATGACTACTTAGAAGAAAGCTCTCCAATTTCCTGTTTACATATTCCATCTAGGGGAATTTTCCTGAGAACATTTGCCCTTTGAACATTGCCTTTGACGTTAAAGGTAAAATTTTAGCTGGAGGCAATAGTTGTTAATACAGAGGAACACAAATTCACAAATTCCACTATGATTTCTAAGATCTGAGCTCACCATGTCTCAAATTCATCTCAGATACTTGAGTTCTCTGAGCATCAGCATGTTTGGTATGAAACCAGGTTTGCATGCTCGACTGTAATAATATACTTAATGGGATCATTCGGAGAGGGAGAGAAAACCAGGAGTGTGCTGTTTGTTTAGTTCTTAGATTCCCTTGAGCCCAGACCACCTCCTCCCAGTTTGCTAAATATTTGTTTAACCTTGTTTCCGTTTATTCATTCCCTTGAAAATACACTTACTATACTAAACCATTTTATTCTTCACTGGCAAAGTACTGAAAATGTTTTTCAGAGGAGAAAAACATGCACGATGAATTGGACACAGTGTCTCTCACATGCGTCCAGTTTTGTTTTTATTGGAGGGAACAGGAAGGTTAAAGATCAACTTTTCCAGATTTCTGGATAGTGAGGGGGTGGGTAGACTAAAGTTGAGGGAGGGAGGGTGGTGGAGAGGACAGAGCTTGTCATGATGCAGGGTTTTTGGTTTTTGTTTTTTCCTGGAATATCAAAACTAGCAAATGTAGTCTTTTTTTTTGGGGGGGGGGAGGGGTTGTGGGTCTTGAACTCTGGACCTGAGTGCTCTCCCTGAGCTCCTCAGCTCAAGGCCAACACTCTACCACTTGAGCCACAGTGCCACTCCCAGTTTTCTGGAGGCTTATTGGAGATGAGTCTCAGATTTTCCTTCCCAGGACTGGCTTTGAACCGCAATCCTCAGATTTCAGCTTTCTAAGTAGGTAGGATTACAGGTGTGAGCCACCGGCCCCCAGCAACAAAGGTAGTTTCGAACTCCTCTAAGACAATGGGAAAAAGAAAAATTAAGATTCTACAATTATGGTAAGCCATTTCTCATTACTTTTCTGAGGAAAGTCTGCTTTTGGAATTAATTTTCAAATGAGGAATTGAGAGAATTGCCTATGATTTAAAATATATATGCAAGAATAGACTTCGATCTGTTTGCTTACTTTGAGTATTTCACCTGTTGCAAAGAAATGAGATCATAACTTGGCAAGTGGCCTTTTCATGAGGTAAGCTCACTTGAACTTTGAAGTCTAGCTCTTTGAACTGAAGAGAAGTCTAATTCTCATTTTCTCTTTCCCTTCAACTCCCATCTTTGCCATTGATCACGAAAAGGAAGATCTCATTAGTTAAGTCCCATTACTGGATGCAAGGGGGAAAAATAAACAAGAACAGACACAGCCATAGATGATCATGTGAAGAAGATCCTAGTTCTGAAATAGGTGAAAAATGGCTAATCAAGTGTTGGCCATCTGTATAAATCCTTTTTATGGCTTTATGTTACCAGTATGTTTTTTTTTCTTTTTTCTTTTTTTAATTGTCCGGTTGTGGGGCCTGAACTCTGGGCCTGGGCGCTGTCCCTCAGTTCTTCAGCTCAAGGCTGGCGCTCTACCACTTGAGCCACAGCGCCACTTCTGGCTTTTTGCTTATGTGGTGCTGAGGAATTGAACCCAGGGCCTCAGGCATGCAAGGCAAGCGCTCTACCGCTGAGCCACCTTCCCAGCCCTACCAGTATGTTTATAGGTCTCCCTCCTGAGCTATGGGACCTCAGGTAAAAGTGAGGAAAAACATCATGACAAAAACGTGTGCAGTATAATTTGTTGTTATCATTTTAAGTTTGTATTTCAATGGCCTTACCACACACATACCGTGTAAACTATCATCACCATTCATGTCTAGAACATTGCATCTTCCCACACTCAGTAACAGTAACTCCCCAATCCTTTTCCCCAGGCCAACCTCCACTCCACGCTCTATGAAGACTATATGCCTATATACCCCATGTAAGTGGATTTTTTGAATATTTGTCTTTTCGTGCCTTGTTTATTTCATCTGGCATATATAAAACCTTCAAGGTTTATCCATGTTGTAACTTGGACCAGCATTTCCTTCTTTTTAAAGATTGACTAATATTCTACTGTATGTTTGTGTCATGTTTTGTTTTTCTGAAATTTGGGCAATCTCTGTCTTTCATCTATTGTGAAGAACGCTACTATGAGCCAGATGTATAAATAAATATTTGTCTAGCTGCCTTCAGTTCTTTTGGCAGAAACCCAGAAGTGGAATTGCTAAATTGTCTGGTAATTTTATGTTTAATGTTTTCAGGAACCACCTTGTTACATTTCTATGGTGTTATTAATATGCTGCTTCAGCAGACATAATATTTATTAGTCTTAGAGTACTATTGAAAGTTTGTACTCTTGACTACCTATTTCTCAGCCAGGGAAATAGTGCATGTGCGATTTTATTCAAAATTTATTTGAGCACAAGTAGAAAGGTTGTGAAATGGCAGAAGGTTGAATAGGCATTGCTAGTGTTTTCAGGAGCTTAGAACATTTTCCTGTTTTAATCTTCAGCTCTTCAGAATGTACATACACATTTCCTGTAGTTGCAAATATAGCATAGAAATATTTTAATTAGCTCTTTCTATTTCTTCTTGGTCATCACTTTATAGATGACATAAATTTCCTAAAGATGTAAAAATCATTTATATGTCTTTTTTTTTATTAATTGATTTCTTTTTTCTTTTTGTCAGTTCTGGGCTTGAATTTAGGACCTGAGCACTCCCCCTGAACTTTTTGTTCCACGTTAATGCTCTACCACTTGAGAGCCACAGCTTCATGACAGTTAATTAGAAATAAGAGTCTCTTGGACTTTATGGCCCAAATCAGCTTTGAAATATAATACTCATATGTCAGCCTCCTGAGTAGCTAGGATTATAGGTATGAACCACCAGTGCCTGGCTCCTCTTCTTTTTTTATTTTTTTTATTGTAAAGATACTGTACAGAGAGGTTACAGTTACATGAGCAGGGTAATGAGTGCATTTCCTATTGAGCATTGTTACCTCCTCCTTTGTTTTCCCCCTACTATCCTCTTCTTTTTTAAGAATATGTTTCAGGGCTGGGAAGGTGGCTCAGTGGTAGAGCTCTTGGCTTGCATGCATGAGGCCCTGGGTTCGATTCCCCAGCACCACATAAGCAAAAAGAAAAAAGCTGGAAATGGCACTGTGGCTCAAGTGGTAGAGCGCTAGCCTTGAGCTGAAGAGCTGAGGGACAGCGCCCAGGCCCAGAGTTCAGGCCCCACAACCGGACCCAAAAAAAAAAAAAAAAAAGAATATGTTTCACTATTTGGGCCTGAGACTCATGATTCTCCTGCCTCAGCCATGGGCAGAGATTACAGTTATGAACCATCATGCCTGGCTTTACCTGTTGTTTTTTTTTGGAGGGGGGGTGGGTGTGGTGGTGGTGGTGGTTTAAAGAACCTAACCCCTATTTCCCAGCAGCTCAATGGGGAAAATGTTTTCTTTTTTTCTGTACTAAGAAGAAACTTGAATCATTCTTAAGTTGTCATACAAAACACATAAAGAAGTAAAATCTCCCCTTGTTTTAGCCCTCAGAGTGCTTTCTAAACAGAATGTTGTACTTCTGTCAGCATCTGTAGATTACCTGCTTGTGAGAGAGGAGTTGATACCACGATGATATTTTAGCTTACCATTTGAATGTTGCCAAATCCATGATATGTCTTCAAAACCTAGTACTAGTGATATATCTTCACTATGAGAAACAGCATTGCAGGTACATTATTTAGGCTAGGAAAATGAATAATGCCTTAAGATCTGCCCAGAAGACATACTATACATTTCAGACTGTTCACTAATGCCAGCTGCAATCAACATGTGAAGGAAGTCTTGTATAACCCACCACAGAGAGAGGCCAAAAAGTCACTGGGGGCCGGGTGGTAGAGGCATTCTGTAGAATCATAAGCATCAGACTAAATATGGGGTGAAGAACAAATTACACAGTTGTAATTTTTGTTAGGCAGAATGTAGAGTTTAAAGTAGAATAAACTGGGCTGGGAAGGTGGCTCAGTGGTAGAGTGCTTGCCTTGCATGCTTGAGGCTCTGGGTTCGATTCCTCAGCACCACATAAGCAGAAAAAGCCGGAAGTGGCACTGTGGCTCAAGTGGTAGGGCATCAGCCTTGAGCTGAAGAGTTGAGGGATAGCTCCCAGGCCCCGAGTTCAGGCCCCACAACCAACCAAAAACAAATGTAGAACAAACTACTTCTCTGCATAATGCACCACCCTCTCACAATTGGTCCAAGCAGTAGTGACCTTTGACTTCTCCCTCATCAACCTGCTGTCATTTCCCCTTTGCTTTACTCCCAGACTTCACATGTTGGTGAAGAAGGTGAAGCAATTTAAACTAAATTTATTCAAGGCCACGAGGCTAATTTACAGATTGCCTTCATGAGGTGCTAAGAGGTATAGGTATTCTTTGGATGATATTTCCACTAGATTTTTCTTTTGAAGAAATATTCCTGACACAGGCTTTCCCAACATGGGTCAAAACTGTCTACAATTTAAGTATTTGCCCAGAAATTTCTGGTCAGGTCACGGAGATTTGTCACTTATAAGTAGGAACCTGAATTTCTTGGGTGCCTTTCTGCATCTTCTTCACACTAAAATGTGCTATTTGATGCTTTTTTCAGTTATACTCATGCCTATTTTCATGATGAAGACCCTGTAGTACATCTGAGATAACTTTGATTGTCTTTGGCCTTTGTCTAATAGTATTGTACTATTTGATAAATGCATCCAATTTCTACTCTGTGAAAAAGCAAGTTGGGAAAAATTAATTACTGAGTACTTCCAAAAGTATTTATTTCTTAGAAAATCATAGCTTGCTAGAGTAGTTGATAATATTTTCACATGTGCTTGAAACCAATTTTTTTCTTTCTTTAAATAGTTTTTGTAACATGAAACCATAATAAACTCTATGCCCATCAGTGCATCGCCATCTTCTGGTCTTCTAAAATCTCTAGTTCCAAGTCTCAGGCCCACACACAAAGGGAGGAGTTTGCAGTTTGCTTTTTCTCTACAACTCAGTCTTCAGTAGCTTGAGAGCTCTATTCATATTGTCATACACTGATGTGGAAAAAGATAAGACAATCAATATGTCATCAGAAATCACATCAAAAGATGGAATAAATCTCCAAATTTGGGCACTCTTCACTGTAAGTGGGGTTGGTTACCCAAAGGGTGAATGGTTGGTGATATGATTATAATTTTTTCCCTAAATTATGTTAAATATATTTTATGATAACCCATTTCCTCCCTTCTGTTCCTCAGATCTTCCTTCTTTAACTCATTTTCCAAAAGAAATTCTATATAAACTTTTATCAGCACCAAAATACTTTTGGTAATTTTGAGGTAAATTTTATGAGTTAGATAATGTGTAGCTACTGCAAATTATTTAGAAGTGGCAAGAATATAAATCCTAGTAAACTGAAGTGCTTTGCTCAGATGAATTCTTCTCATCCTCACAGAAACTCTACTACATGCTTCAAAGAGACTCAGTTGTTTGCCTGAAGTCACACAGCTAACAAGTGATAGAGCTACTGCTCCAGAGCCCAGACTTCTATATCACCATCCTTTGGTACTAGTTGGTGAACATGAGGTATGTGATCCACTGGAATAAGATGTCCCTGTGATCAGCACTGTATAGCTGCTTATTCGTTCTTTCTAAAATACTTACTGAATGCTTATTCTGCAAGGCACTGTGATAGGATTTGGCCTTTGAAGAGTTAAATCTTATAAGGATACATGATACTGTCTCAACAATACTGACTTGGGACGGTCCTAGGAACAAGCTTTCCCTTGTCCTCACAGCTTCCCCCTGGGAACATTATTAATGGACAACGAGGAGCTCTCCTATGGACCTGTAAGTATGGCCTGTCCTCCCTAACATACTCTTATGTCAGCACTGCCCAGCAGAAAATTCTGTGCTGATGAAAGTATCATTATAGTACTGTGCACAGTCTGTGAACATATGGAATGTGGGAAGTATAACTGCAGAACTAAGATTTCAATCTTAACAAGAGGTAATTTAAATAGCAATATGTGGCTAATAGCGAATGTATTGGATGGGTGTCGGCAGCTATGACAGTTGACTACAACTAGTGGTTCTTAGGATAAAATTCAGTATTCCCAGAAGGATTAATTGCATGCCACAGCTACATATATTCTTCCCTTTAATTACTTCAGTTGTCTTAAGTCTTTCAATTCCTGTTTGTTTCCCTTTGTCTCTGTTTGTCTGTCTGTCTGTCTGTCTGTCTGTCTCCCCCTGCCCCATGTCTCATTTCTCTCTCCCCTTTTTATGATAACTCTTAGGATCACCTTCCCTACTGATCTTTTATAAATTGAACCATAATTCAACTTCAGTAAGTGGGGCTGAAGTCTCCCTGAGAGAAACAGAAGGTAATGTGGTCACAGAAAAAAAAAGATTCTTAATCTAAATCATTTATCCTCATTTTTGAGATTAAATAAAACAACAGAGATGGAAAGGGATTTGTCTGAGGACACTAGGCTAATTAGAATCAAACTTTTTCTCTGGCATCCCTACATAGACCCCTTGCCCAGGTCACCTGGAGCCTCGCATCCCCTCACTATGGCAAAGGGACATGTTAGGTACTTGGACAGCATCCACCTCGGAGGCAACACTTACATAGAGATGTATCTGCAGGCTCATAGGCATAGAGACGGTTTGAATATCTTCCAGTGATGTCTGCTCTGACTGTCAGGGATGGATCTGCAATGATAAAGCAAAAGGAAGGGAATGTTTTGTTTGCAAGTGATCCAATTCCAATCCATGTCCTATGAAAGAAAGAGTTGGTCCTATTGTATCAAGCTTCAGTCCATCCAATGCCATTCCCTCTGTTCTCCTGCCCGGCCGCTGGCAGATAATAACCAGAAGAGGGCTGGGTGTGTGCAACAACCACATAGTGCTGTTTGTGGAAAAGGTTTTGAACACTACTGTCATACTTACTGTGATCTGAAAATAGGATATTATACGTTTGGGGTATTTGCTGTTTTGGTGCAAATAGCATTCTCTAGTACAGAATTGTAAACTTTTGAAGCAATTATGTGGCAGGTGACATTTTTACCAAGAGTAATGACGATAATTAGAAACTCATATCCAGTGTTGGTTTTCATATGTGTGTGTATACATAATATACACATATATAACACATAACCAAGTACATGAAATATAAGTATAAAATATAAAAACATAAGCAACCCAAGCAGAAAAGTTCCGTAGACCTCATTTCTAATTAACTAGCAAAAAGTCAGACTGGAGACATGTCCCAAGTGGTAAAGCACCAGCAAGTGAGCAAGCTGAAAAAGTGTGATGGACTAAGTTCAAACCTCAGTATTGACAAAATGTTTTTAAATACACACACAACACCACACTATATATATTTACACACACACACACACACACACGCACACACGGTACACCCAAAAGGCAAGTGGGATGCAAAGAGGTCTAGAAATTTTGGATGATTGGGTAAATAAGTAATTCAGTGGTAGACTGCTTGTCTAGCATGCACAAAACCCCAAGCTTGATCCCCAGCACCTCCAAAAAAGAGCCGTAATTTAGGAGCCTAAATCACATATCCTGAAAACAGAAGGTATGTAAGAACCATCTGGGTGTTTGCAGAGTCTGCTACTAATTCTGGAGTGGACTGTTGCTATCATTTTAGAATATTGGACTAGGATCAACAGCCATCAGTGACCAGAAATAAACATTCATTTATTCATTGAAGACTTAGTGTTGTGAAGTACAATGCTTCAGAACAATTTAATATGAGAAAAGTTCTTTCAGCAGCTACAGGAGCTCACACATCATAATCTAATGGACCTTTAAAATTATGACTGCTTGTTGGGCACCAGTGGCTCACGCTGCCTATAATCATAGCTTCTCAGGAAACTGAGATCTGAGAATCATGGTTCAGAGCCAGCCTGGGTGAGAAAGTCTGTGAGACTCTTGTCGCCAATAAACTACTAGAAAACCAGAAATGGTGCTGTGGCTCAAATGGTACAGCGCTAGCCTTGAGCTGAAGAGTTCAGGGACAGCATCTCGGCCCAGAGTTCAAGCTCTACAACCAAACCAGCCCCCCCCCCAAAATTATGATTGCTTGTACTCCCTCCCAGAGGTTTCTATTTAATTGGTTTTAGGAGTGTCCTGGAGAGCTTGCTCTTTAAAATTCCTTCAGAGGATTCTAACACGTGGCCAGAGTGGAGGAATGGAGACCCACGGAGCTGCTTAAGCAAACTTCAGTGGGGTTGCTGCTTATGATCAAAGGAAACAAACGTGGGTTAAGCGTACTTAGATATTTTACAGGAGACTAAAAGGAATTGCCACATAACTAGATGACCAACAAATTCTCTTTCAGTGTTAAGAGTCTAATTGTTCTAAATCCTGAGCGAACCTAATCTAATTCGTCCTCAAGTTCAGCCTTCTGCATTCCGCCATCACTTTTGTTACTGTTGTTGTTTTAGAATTTTGGCCTGCAGATTTTATGGATATATTAGTGTTGAAAAATATCTCCTCTTAAAGATTTTATTCATAGTCTTTAAACAATATTATAAAAGTATTCTAAAATAATAACATGAAGCCACCAAATTTCCTACAGTATTAAAAATAGTAGTATAAGGCACTGCATTTCCTATGGCATTGAGTTCAAGAATAAAAAGACAGTCTAGTGAATTGAAATGTAACTACAAATTCTTAGCACATATCCTCTGGGATATTTATGCACTAACATTTACTAAGCTCCTGAAATATGGCTGGACATTGTTGTCATTGCTGAGGGTATATCAAAACCCTGTCCCTTATTTTTGTTACTCCTGTTTTATACATTTATTGCAAACTTTGAAGACATGTAAGTAGAATGAACTCTATGCAATATGTTTAGTATGGATTTTCCCTACATCAATATAAATTTGGTCAAAGCTGAAGTCAATGCATTTATTCATTCATCCAACAAACACTTACTGAGACTCTACCACAGGGTCTTGCTGGGACAACTATGTTGAACATAATTATTAATAAATAAGTAAAAAGATCACTGAGGAAGATATGGCCAATGAGAAAGTCATCCTCAGATATATTTGAGATAGAGATGACAACTTCAAATGAGCAGATGAGAAGTCGGCTAAGACATCTGACAGAAGTTCACATTTTCTAATGCAAATGTAAAACCTAAAGGGGTATCATACTCCTGAAATGTTATCTGTCTTTCTAGAGCTTTGGGAGTGGCCTTGACCATGGTGAAGAGGGGGCTGAAGGTGGGGGAGGACAGCGGAGGGACTGCCAGTCTTGAGAGTGTTTAACCCCAATAGCCTCGCCACTTACCCACAAACATAATCCTGGGGACATACTGGCCATCAGGAGAAAGGTGTTTGTCTGTTGTTTCATACTGAGATTAAAACAAAACAAAAGAACTTTTAGTTTGCTTGCTCTTCAGTGACTTTCAAACTTGCTAACAAGAGGATGAGTACATTACCAGAGACCTAATATAACTCAAGATGCATCTCTTTTACATATGGGGCATATAGAAACAAGTCACATACATGGGTAATAAGATGGAGGGGATGGGATACAGAACATGAATAGCTGAATGGATGTGAGGCACAAAGCAAAAACTTCAAGAGGGAAGGGTTGGATGCTGGCCCATACCTGTAATTCAAGCTACTCAGCAGGCTGAGATCTGAAGATTGCAGTTCAAAGCCAGCTTGGGCAGGAAAGATCATGAGAATCTTACTTCCAATAACCCCTACCCCTCTCCCCCAAACATGGCGGAAGTAGAGCTCTGTCTCAAGTGGTAGAGTGCTAGTCTTGAGGAAAAAAGCTCAGGGACAGTGTGCAGGCAGGCCCTGAGTTCAAGCCCTAGGACTGGCATTGCGCGTACACCCCTCCACCCCGTCCCCCCCATATACACGCACACAGAAAGGAAGGAGGGAAGTATTGAAAGGTATTGATGATGGTTCAGGGAGACACCGTGGAGGGCATAAGGAGACAAATCAGTTAGAAGAGCAGAAGACATAGTTGGAAAAATTATAAACCCAAAAAGGATTTTTTGGGTATTCCTCTAGTTTTAAGCATTTATAGATTTATAGAATGTATAGTTTTAGAAATTACAGATTTAGCAAGATGCAATGCTTATCTTTGATAAAGCCATAGCCTTTTGAAAGATACAGGCAGGAAAATGAATAATGAGGATCCAGCAGATGATTCAAAGTATTTATTGATTTAGTTAGTTAATTTTCTGCCAGTGCTGGGCTTGAACTCAGGGCCTTATACTCATGCTTAACTTTTTTTTTTTTTTGGTGGGGGGGGTCCGGTCATGGGGCTTGAACTCTGGACCTGGGTGCTGTCCCTCAGCTCTTCAGATCAAGGCTAGCGCTCTACCACTTGAGCCACAGCACTACTTCCAGCTTTTTTCTTTTTGCTTATGTGGTGCTGAGGAATTGAACCCAGGGCCTCATGCATGCAAGGCAAGCACTCTACCGCTGAGCCACCTTTTTAACTCAAGGTTGGTGCTCAAGGCAGACTTCCTCTTCTGTATTTTTACTGGTTAATTGGAGGTAAGAGTGTCTCAGATTAGTCTGCCTTGACTGGCTTTGAACCCTGATGAACAAATCTCAACTTCCTGAGTTGCTGGGATTATAGGTTTGAGCCACAAGTGCCAGGCTGACTCAGAAGTTTTAGTGGGGTGGCTGGGAAGATGGCTCAGTGGTAGAGTGCTTGCTTCACATGAAGAGGCCCTGGATTCGATTTCTCAGCACCACCCACACAGAAAAAGCCGGAAGGGGGCACTGTGACTCAAGTGGTAGAGCACTAGCCTTGAGCTGAAGAGCTGAGGGACAGTACCCAGGCCCAGAGTTCAGAGCTCAGGCCCTATGACCGGGGGGAGGAGGGGGGGGAGTTTTAGTGGGGATATGCAGGTTCAGTGGATGCTCAGAGCAAGATGTTCATTGGTCTTGGTATGCAAGGTCCCCTAAGGTTTTCTGAACAGGAATCAGGTAAAACACAAGTGCATAGGGATGGAAAGGAGGAACATCAAGTTTTCTCATATGACCAGTAGTTTGGGAAGGGTTGAAGTATGCATGAAGATATGGTGGAGAGGTTAAGCTTCTACAAGAGTCAACTCACGCATGGTTTGTGCACATACTCCAATGTTTTCCCTGTTCAGACAGAATTAAGAACTACTGGAAAGGGCTGGGTACCAGCAGCCCATGCCTATAATACTAGTTACTCAGTAGACTGAGATCTGAGGATCATAGTCCAAAGCCAGGCCAGGCAGAAAAGTCCACGAGATTCTTCTCTATACCAGAAAACCAGAATTAGTGCTGTGGCTCAAAGTGGTAGAGTTGCCGGGCGCTGGTGGCTCACGCCTTAATCCTAGCTACTCAGGAGGCTGAGATCTGAGGATCGCGGTTCAAAGCCAGCCCGGGCAGGAGAGACCGTGAGACTCCTATCTCCAATAAACCACCAGAAAACCGGAAGTGGCGCTGTAGCTCAAGTGGTAGAGCACTCGCCTTGAGCTGAAGAGCTGAGGGACAGCACCCAGGCCCAGAGTTCAAGCCCCACAACCAACAAAAAAAAAAAAAAAAAAAAAGTGGTAGAGTTGTTAGTCGAGCAAAAGAACTCAGGGACAGCGCCCAGGCCCTGACCCACCATGACCCTAGTTTAGAGTGATTGTCCTACACCTATGAAGGGTCAGATGGGCTTATGTTGTATAGGGAGACATTTAGAAATACTACTGTAGGCAAAATATAGAAGTCATACATCAAAATCATGGTCCTGAGTTTATGAGGAAGCATAGTATCAGGAATATTAAGAGCTTAAGTGCTGCACAAGAAAAAGAGAGTACTATCTAGAGGAGTAACACTTTTAATGACATAGGAATAAAGACTAGCTTTTTGTTGTTGGTGGTGGTGGGTCATAGGGCTTGAACTCTGGGCGCTGTCCCTGAGCTCTTCAGCTCAAGGCTTGAGCCACAGCATCACTTCCGGTTTTCTGGTGGTTAATTGGAGATAAGAGTTTCATGGACTTTCCTGCCTGGGCTGTCTTTGAGCTGCAATCCTCAGATCTCAGCCTCCTGAGTAGCTAGGATCACAGGTGTGAGCCACCAATGCCTGGCAAGACTAGCTTTTTGGAAAGCCTCAGAATGATTACTTGAATGTAAAACCTAATTGTGACCTATCTTGTAACAAGCGTGGGAAGATAAAGTGAAAGTTGTTGCACATTTGGGTTACGATATAGAAATTGGTGCATAGGAATTGATTGCATGCACATATAGATGATGCCCATAGAGAATACAAAAGGTGGAAAGAAAGGGTGAGCGAGTAGAGGTTCCTCAAGTTTCTGATGATAAGGGTTAGATAGAAGAAGAGGAGTGAATGGAAGATGAGAAAGAATTATGGGTGTTGCTTGTTCTTTGAAGAAGCCAATCTGGAAGGAATAAGAGGGAGACAGGCTCAAGGGGATACGGTCAATAGCTGTTTTACTTTTAGAAGGAAAATGGACCCAATCTGTCTACAGAGTAAAAAGAATTTGAAGGCAGAAAACCTGAATATCAGGAAGGGGGTGGTGAAAATGACAACTGTAAGAGGCCTGAGTAGAGTTGGACAGCTAGGGAGCTGCCATTTCAAGAGAGAGAAAGAGAGAGAGGAGAGAAGAGACGGGTTAAGAAGCTGAGGGTGGGTAGGACAGCGCTGGAAATAAGTAGTAAATACAAAATCCTTGCCATTGTTACAGGAACAGAGAATATCCTTCCCATCATATTTCTCAGAAAAGCCGAGGTTGTTACCAAACAGATAAGCCAAAAAGCTTATTAATAAGACAATCTATCCTTTTCCTTCTAATATTTCCAGGAGATCCCAGTTAATGTGGTCTGATAAGATGCATAGAAAGAGTGATTCATCTATTTTTGATAATGAACCATGAGGAAATATGTTGGTGAAAGGAATGGTAAACTTACAACTAGATTGAGGAGAACAAACTGTTCTGCCAATTTCTGGATGTCTTTATTTTCAGCAAACACTTTCTTCAATGCTGAAACATAAGGAAAGAAATCATTATGCATTCATCTCAGCTTTGTTTAAAACTCCTGTTCTATATTTTAAGTTGAACTGTGTTGTATTGTAAGTTTAATTGTGTTAAAAATGCAAGACTTTGCCCTTTCAACGGATGACTTGTGAAACAATACCCATACCATTATCATCTATATCATTTTTTATTATCCAGTTATTCAGTCATCCATCCATTTATTAGCCATATTTATTAAATTACTGCGTTGTGTCAATTTTAATCATTGCAGAAGGAGCAATGAATAAAAAAAAGTGGGTGCTATTTCCATAGAATTCAAAGTTCTGTTGGAGATAGACCATAAAGAAGTCCACAAAGAAATATGCAATAATTTCAAATGAGAATCTGTACTTTGGAAAGAAATGAGTGAATCAGGCTTTAAGAGCTATAGGTTTCCAGGAGAGTTCCATCATCACAAGGCTCCATGTTGCTCTTTGAAAAATATACCCATTTTTCTACTCCTTCCCAACCTACCTCACCCCTATCCCTAACCCCTGCAAACTCATCACTTAATTTTGTCTTTAAAAAACTGTTAGATAAATAATATTATATGTTAATCCTGGAGCCAGTGGCTATAATCCTAGATACACAGGAGGCTGATATCTGAAGATTGAGGTTCAAAGCCAGCCTGGGCAGGAATGCCCATGAGATACTTACCTCCAATTAACTACCAACAAAGCTGGAAGTGGAGCTGTGGCTCAAGTGGTAGAGTACTAGCCTTGAGCAAAAAAGTCCAGGCCCTGAGTTTGAGCCCCCAGACTACCACACACACACACACACACACACACACACACACACACACACACACACACACACACACACACATTTGTATCTTGTATTAAAACTAATATTTCTAGGTTGTTCAGAGAAGATCTCTCCAAGGAGGTTACATTGAAGTGAGGTTGTGCTCCATTTTGGGGGTGGATCATGAAGATTATTGGGGCAGATCAGGCTACCTTGAGGTAAGGATGAGTTCAGTAGTTCTAGAGGCCAGCTGAAGACCAGGCTAGATAATATAGCAAGCAGTGCATGGTAGGAAAGCAAAGACAGTCACTGGTCAGATGGTGTTTAGCCTTGAACACCAGTCAGAAATTATGATTTGGCTTGACCTGCGATGAGAAGCCAATAGAAGATGCAAGGGATAGGATCTGAGTTTTGTTTATGAGTTTCACCCTGGCTTCTGTGTAGAAACTGTTGTGTGACCTGTTTAGTGGCTGTTAGCATTTTTCAGATGTAACTTGATCTTGGCTTAGATTTGGGCAGAAAGCACTGAGGCATAGAAAGTGGTTGTATTTGGTGAAATCAGCTATCTAGCATAAAGAGCACAGAGCAAAAGGAAACTGCAGAACCCCTTGGTCAAGAAATACTAAGCATTTTAAGATAGTGAGAACGGAGTTGGGGCTCTGTGTGCCCACCCAGGTCACATATCTATGAAACTGGTGCTGGATTGAGGATCTATTTTGAAAGTAAAACCAATCGTATTTGCTGGTGTATCTGGTGTGGGATAAAGCAATGTTAAGAAGCTGAGGATAAATCCTAAAGTTTATTCCAAATATGCACCAATTGTTGAGAAAACATGAGCTATTTGAAGTCACATTAAAAAGAATAATGTTTTTCCTGTTTTAAATAATCTTGCTTCTTCAACTCCTTTGTATCTTCAGATACAAAGGTGAGTGATCTGGACTCTGACACTACCTCAAAAACCTATAAAAAACCATATTTAAAATAAATTACCTTGGCTGTGTGGGCATTCGTCCAAGTGATGAATTATCATCAAGGGTTTGTTGCTGTAAGAGACAAAGATCCCATGAGTCTCAATGGGTAGAATTTAGTGGGTAGGATTGCGTGTATGTCTACTTATCACTAGATGGAGCTCTTCCAAGGTTGAGAGAGCTCTGAGTAACCCTTACCCCTACCTTGTCTTGGATTTGTATAAAGCTTCTTCATATGTCTGAGTCCAGATAAGCTGATCACCCCAACCTAAAAAAAAAAAGAAGAGAGAGAGAAAGAGAGACCACATATTCAATTAAAACTATTATACTTTCAGGCCCAAACTTGTTGAAAAGCAAAGGTAAATATATGTTCAATACTAAAAATGAAGAAGAGCCTCAGGAGAATGTAGAGATAACTATAAGATGAACTGATAAAGCACACATCCTCAAATATATTTAAGCAAGCATATTTCCACACCGAGATTAAGAAATCTTTCTCACTTAAGAAGCAGTTAGAAACCTACAGAAATCTGAGTTCTACCTACCTCTGGAGAGGGTCTGGGGCAGTTTGGGCCGAGAGTCCTTGATGTCCTTTTTAGCTCCAGGTTTGACAGTGGTTTCTTTGGCCAAAGTGTAGGAGAGGGCCAAAAGGAGTAAGAATGCTGACACTGAAATTTTCTCCATGGTAAGTCTATGTGGAAAATGAGAAAACAGGAATTAGGAGTTTTCAAGATCTCAGCTTGTATCTCGTGATGGAACAACAGGAACTGAACTGCTACTGAGTTAGGACACGAGATTGGAGAGAAAAGCCCCCTTCCTTTGAGGGCATTTTCCTGGGAATCTATATTATGGGTATCTGTCTGTCCTATTACTCACCTATCAATAGATAAATATCCACAATAGAAATAGATAAATGTAGACAAATTTCAAGGAAATGATATCTAGTTAGATATAGGTAGTTAAGGAAATTTATCCTTCAATTTTATATTTTAAAAGTAAAGTCCTGGCAGGTACCTTAGAAGTTATCTCGTCTTTTCCTACTTACCCAAAGCTTCATTATAGTGATAAAGAATAAAAGACTAAAAAAAATGTTGTGTGTTGGTATTGAGGCTTGAACTTAAGGCTGGTGCTCTATCACTTGAGGCACAGCTCCACTTCCAGCTTTTTTGTAGATAAGAGTCTCAAGAATTTTCCTATCCAGGTTGAATTCCATCCTCAGATCTCAGTCACCTAAGTAACTAGGATTAAGCCACTGGCACCCTGCTTAAAAAATATATGAAATGGGTCCAGAACCAAGACTTCTTGATCTTGCTGTTTGGTAGTGCTGACTTCTGATTTCCCAGCCTGAAACAATTACCCTAAGCCTCCACACTTCTTTAACCTTCAGTTAAAATGGAAGCATTATTATCAAAGAATGGAAATGCATACAATGGTTGTTTTCATTCTGTCATTTAGAGCCTGCCAGCCTTGTCCTTTTTACCCACCAGTCTCTCCCTAGTGTCACATTTACTTCAGCTCTGCATTAGCTCTGAATTGCCTAAGACACATCAAGCCTGTAATCTTAGCTACTCATGAGGCTGAGAATTGTGGGCCAGTCTGGGCAGAAAACTCCATGAGACTCTTATAAACTAGTCAATAAACTAGTCAAATAAACTAGTCCAAAAAAAAATAGTCCAATAAACTAGTCAAAAAAAGCCAGAAGTGGCAATGTGGCTCAAGTGGTAGAGCACTTGCTTTGAGCAAAAGAATCTCACGGACAGTGTCTAGGCCCAGAGTTCAAGCCCCAGAATTGGCAAAAGAAAGAAAGAAAGAAAAGAAAGAAAGAAAGAAGGAAAGAAAGAAAGAAAGAAAGAAGGAAAGAAGGAAAGAAAGAAAGGAAGGAAGGAAGGAAGGAAGGAAGGAAGGAAGGAAGGAAGGAAGGAAGAAAGAAAAAGAAAAAATGCACATCAACATTAAGTTCTTCCTAGAGAAACATGTGGTGACGTCATGTCTATATGTGTGGGTTTTTCAGTGCACAGAAATAGTGTGAGATTCACAACACAGAGAAATTAGCCCTAGGGCGTCTCTATTAAATTCCCCTTTCCTTTCTATAATGTTGGGGCTAATTACTAGGAATACCTGAAGCAGATGCCTATGACTAAGAGTGTGCATGGCACAGGATGAGTTCCACTAGTGAGGATGGAGGGAGCTAGCCAAGCCAGTTCTATCACATGCCGCTCAGGCTGTACAGGGGACATAACACAGAGAGCTAGTCACTTGCATCTAGTAAAACCAAACCCTACAATTGTTTCGAAAGAATTATGAGACTCTCACACCAGCTGAGATCGAGGACAGTGGTTCAGAGGCAGCCCAGATAGGAAAGTCCATGAGACTTTTACTTCCAATTAACCACCAAAAAGCTGGAAATGGTGCAACAGTGGCTCAAGTAGTCAACTGCTAGCCTGAGCACCAAGCTCAGGACAGCATCCAGGTCTAGAGGACTGACACACAGAGAGAAAAACAAACCTCTAGCATCAAACTCTGATTGAAACAGCTTTTGAGTGAAGTTAAACTCTCAAAAGAAAAACAGGGTACGTTATATCACTGTTTAGTGTTTGTGAGAGAGTTTCTCATGATTTGATACTTGAGTGAGAACCTTTGTTAGGCATCACATGATGTTAAAAGTTGTTGCTAAATTAATTAGGTGTTGCTGCCTCGTGCCTATGATCCAAGCTACTCAGGAGGCTGAATTCTGAGGATTGCTGTTCAAAGCCAACCCAGTTAGGAAGTCCATGAGACTCTTATTTCCAATTAATCACCAGAAAACCAGAAGTGGTGCTATGGCTCACAGTGGCAGAATACTAACCTTCAGTAAAAGAGCTCAGGGAGAGCAATTAGGTCCCGAGTTCAAGCCCCATGACCAACCAAAAAACTGCTAAGCTATGAAACCCTAGTAATTATTTACATTAAACTGACCAATTGTTATTCACAACTTAGTATGCAGCCACAAAATTTCTTACTCAGAAAGACATAAGCTCCTGGTCATCGGGCCAGGAAGTAAGGAAAACAAATATTTCTTATGTTAAATACTAAAAGAAAAGACATAAGCAAAATTCAGGAATATAATCCCTTCATTTTCTGTACTCTTAAGAGGTGGAAATGCCATTAACAATTTTTATCATCTAAAGTTCATCTAGAACAGCTCAAGTACACTACAAGTCATCTCTCTTAATGTGAAGACTTCTGTCATTAAAAAAAATCAAGAACCTTTATTTTCTGGCATATCAGTTGGTTCAAAGATCTATTTTATTTATGGCGGCATCTGTGCATGTTTGGAAAAATAGGAAATTGATGAGGAATTTTTTTTTTAGTCCAGAGCTGATTCTTATTGAACAAATGAGTATTGGGGCCCCTTGCTATAACCCTGTAGATTACACATTGGAACTATTGATAAAGCACATGTGTTTTATGGCAGGAAGACACAAGGGAGGCTTATAGAACTTCTGCTGAACAAACATCCTGCTGTGGGGTGAGGGTTTGAGATTGACTCTGCTGTTTTCCTAGGACAAAGAGAGTGCTCTGCAAACATCCTGCATACTCATTAAAATCCAATACTAAACTGATAGTGGTAATTTGCACACACACACACACACACACACACACACACACACACACACACACACACACGAAATGACCTTGCAAGGGTGATTTGTTCTTATTATTCTCAGGAAAATAGCTAGCTCTTCACCTCTGACAGTCTAGACCAGGAGTTTAAAGACTGTAAAAGCAACAAGATACGCCAGTTAGAAAAAAAGGAAACAATTTTCTGACTTGCAATAATACATTCTCTTGGGATAGTCTGAGCTGAAGTTTCACAGAGGAGGGGGCTTTAGCCTGTGGAAGAGAAGCAAGGACTTAGATGGTGACTGACATGGAATTTTCTGAGTCTCTGGCTTAAAAACTCCTAGAATTGATTTACTCTTAAACCTCTGGTTCCCTAAGAGAGAAGGCATCACTGGTGGAGATTCCATTATTCCCCATCTAATCTCAATGGATATTCCATTAAACCCCACTTGGATTCTCTGTCAGTTGATTGCCTGCAACTTTGCAAAGAAATCAGAGCCCAAACCTCACTGTTGGAAGTGGCATTCCAAAGCTATTGTCAAGAGCCTTACCTGGATTGCCCCACCCACCTGCCTTGTGTGAGCCAGCCAGGAGGAGGTCAGAGCTTCGGAGTGTGCCAGCACAGCTCTGAGCCTCTATTTATGCCCGGGAGCACACCTCAATCCCACCCACTAATCCTGTTTCCACAAGTTGCTAACTCGGAAGCAAACTTTCCTTTTTCCAAGCAATCATCTGTGCCGGGCTAAAGACATCCTTATTTAAAAGTTAATGTTATGAAGCATCTGCTTTTGAGTACACTCGTGTGTGTGTGTGTGTGTGTGTGTGTGTGTGTGTGTGTGTGTGTGTGTGTGTGTTTTATAAAGCCATTTATGAAAGTCAGTTGTTAGGAAGGCAGTTACCAGAAATGGGCACAGAGCCAAATCCAGGTAAGGTTTAAATGGGGACTTTTGATTTGCCAGTAGGCTGATTTGTCTTTATGTGATTGGATAGAGTTTGTGGTTTATAGATTTCTTTTTTTTTAACTCCCCCTTGGACAGGTTTCCTGATTTAGCTGAAAATACACAGAGGTTCATTCACAATTCTAATCCTGTGCAGTCATACAATCCGTCATACAAATTCTTTTCCATGCTATACATCTTTTCTTAGGGGGGGTGGGGGGGGGGAGGGTGGCCAGGGGGAAGAGTACATTAACTATAGGCATACAAAATAAAAATCAAGTTTCTATAGTCTACTAAAAAATTATTAGATTGTTGAAAGCTGTGAGTTTTGTAATAATTACCTTGTTGATTAGTATATGCATCAACTTCTCTCCAAAGAACTCAAAAAGGTATTTCACAGATATTTTCTTTCTTTTTTTTTTTTTGGTCCAGTCGTGGGGCCTGAACTCTGGGCCTGGGCGCTGTCCTTCAGCTCTTCAGCTCAAGGCTAGCGCTCTACCACTTGAGCTAGAGCGCCACTTCCGGCTTTTTTCTTTTTGCATATGTGATGCTGAGGAATCGAACCCAGGGCCTCATGCATGCAAGGCAAGCGCTCTACCACTGAGTCACCTTCCCAGCCCCAGTATTTTCTTTTTTAATGTGAAGTTTCTTACAGGACATGCAGAAAAATACTTATTTCTGCTCTTAGACCTAGAAACTATTTTTTCATTCAAGATTATCCAATTACACACAGAATTTTAAAACTGGAAGTCAAATTTTCTGCTAGAAAAATTCAATCGTGCATTGTTCATGAAAGTATATGCTTTTTTTTTTTTTTTGGGTCCAGTCATGGGGCCTGAACTCTGGGCCTGGGCGCTGTCCCTCAGCTCTTCAGCTCAAGGCTAGCACTCCACCACTTGAGCCACAGCACCACTTCCGGCTTTTTTCCTTTTGCTTATGTGGTGCTGAGGAATTGAACCCAGGGCCTCAGGCATGCAAGGCAAGTGCTTCTACCACTGAGCCAACTTCCCAGCCCAGTATATGCTTTTTTGTTTGTTTGCTTTGGTCAGTTGTACGGCTTGAACTCAAGGCCTAGGTACTGTCCTTCATCTTTTTTCTTTTTTGATCAAGGCTTGAACTCTATCCCTTTAAACCACAGAACCAGTTCC